TACACCAAAACATTCAAGTTCAAAATATTCGAATATTGATCTTCAACAGTTGGGATTGCATGATTTGTGCTTACATTGTGGTCGCAATAATCATAAAACGTCTGATTGTCGCATTATTAAAAGACTACAATGTCGAAACTGCCAAAAACAAGGACATATCTCAAAAGTATGTATAAAAACATTATTAAAAATTAAAAATGCTCCAATCAATGAAATTCAAGAGGAAACTGATTCTGATTGTTCAGATTTTTCAATAAATCAAATAATTGATGTATTCACAGAAACATCATCTTCTATTTATGAACCTAAAATGTATTTTGAACTAGATATTGATAATAAACCATTCAAGTTTGAATGTGATACAGGCAGTCCAGTAACTATTATTTGAAAAAAAGATTTTGAAATTTTGAAAATTAAAAAACCCCTGAAATCAACATTCGTTTGTTTCAGATCATATACAAAACACATGTTCAAACCACTTGGTATGGTACAAGTATCTGTAAGATACAAAAATATTCAATTTATCGGTGATTTATATGTAGTTCCAGATTATGGAAATCCTATTATGGGCAGGAGATGGCTGCGCGCTCTTAAAATAGACATGAATGATGTTTCTAATATACAATTTTCAAGACAAGCTATTATAGATGAAATTGTTGCTAAATATGATGGCGTTTTTCAACCTGCAGTGGGAAAAATACCCAATTTAGAATGTTCATTACATTTTTAAAAAAATACCAAGCCTATATTTATCAAACCACGTCGAATACCATACGCACTGGAAAAAGAAGTTGACAAAGAACTAGACTCCTTAGAAGCTCAAGAAATTATCGAGAAGATAGATCACTCAGAGTGGGGTACACCCCTAGTTATAGTCCCCAAAGCTAACGGAAAAGTAAGATTATGTGCCGATTATAAAGTTACGATAAATCAACAATTGGAAGAAAATCGTTATCCAATTCCTAGAATTGAAGATCTTTTCAATGAAATGAAGAATGGCAAATATTTTTGTACATTGGATGTTTTTAAAGCATATTTACATATGGCCGTAGATGAAAAAAGTGCAAAAGCGCAAGCTATCTCAACTCATCATGGAACGTATTTGGCAAAACGATTGTTCTTTGGTATCAAAACTGCTCCAAATATATTTCACAAAATTATTGATGAAATTATACAAGATCTGGATGGTACCATTGCATATTTTGATGATATCCTAGTCCAAGGATCCACATTAGAAGAATGTAAATTTCGATTGATAAAAGTAATTGAGAAACTACAAAAATACAATATGCACTTGAATAAAGATAAATGTAAATTTTTTGAAGAAAAAATTAAATATTTAGAACATATAATTAGTGAAAACGGCCTGCAAAAATCAAATGACAAAGTTAAAGCTATTTTAGAAGCACCACAACCTAAAACTATGGAAGAAGTTCAACAGTTTTTAGGTATGATTATGTATTATTCAAAATTTATTCCTAATGCATCTACAATATTATATCCATTAAACAGACTTCTAAGAAAAGATGTAAAATTTCAATGGACGAAACAATGTGAAAAATCCTTTAAAGAAGCTAAAAATCAAATAGCCAGTGAAAGAATTCTTATACCGTTTTCCCCAGATTTGCCTATAATTCTTGCCACTGATGCCAGTCCGTTTGGGCTGAGTGCAGTTTTATCTCATCGTCTTCCTGGCGAAGAAGAAAGACCAGTTGCCTTCATTTCAAGATCATTAACAAAAGCTGAAAGTAACTATAGTCAATTAGACAGAGAAGCAAGTGCGATTTACTGGGCTTTCAAAAAAATGTACCAATTTGAATATATATATGGGAAAAAGTTTACATTAGTCGTGGATAACAAACCTCTCATGACAATATTCAATCCTTCTAAACAGCTTCCAGTATTATCTGCAACGAGATTACTTAGATATGCACAATTTTTGTCTGGTTTCAATTATACTATTGAATACAAGAAGTCTCAAGAACATAAAAATGTTGACTATCTATCAAGAAATCCTTTACCATTAAAAGAACAAGACGACACCTTTACAGATCAAGAATATATTTTAAATGATATTTCTATAAATCAAATCTCCAATGGGGAAATAACAGTCGAAGATATAGCGAAAGAAACCCAAAATGATCCAGAACTATCAGAAATTAAGAATAGTCTATTTATTGGAAAAATCAGAGATCCAGAATTATCAATACACGAAGGAGTTCTTTTTCGAGGACACCGGGTTATAATACCTAAAAGTCTCCAACCAATTATGCTAAACGAATTGCATTTAACACATATTGGAATTGTGAAAATGAAAGCACTTGCTCGAAATTATTGTTTTTGGAAGGGTATTGATGCAGATATTGAAAATACTGTCAAAAGCTGTTTTATGTTGTAATATACAAAAAAATCCTGTTAAGGCACCAGTTCATCAATGGGAACCTCCAAGAGAAAATTGGCAAAGAGTACATATGGATTATGCCGGACCTTTTCTAAATAATTATTTTTTTATTGTAGTGGATTCAAAGTCCAAATGGCCAGAAATTACTATGACAAAAAATGTACCAACTACATCAGGAACAATTACAAATCTTCGAGAAATCTTCAGTCGACAGGGTTTACCAGAAATTCTAGTGAGCGATAATGCATCAATTTTTAAATCCAAGGAATTTCAAGAATTTTGTCAACGTAATGGTATACAACAACGTTTCATTGCTCCTGGTCACCCTGCTAAAAAATGGACAAGCTGAACGATATTGTCAAACACTTAAATCAAAGTTGAAACGTATGATTAATGATACCGGAACAATTCATGAAAAATTACATAAATTCCTTTTGAAATATCGAGTTACTCCTTTGGCATCTGGCAAATCACCTTCTGAAATTTTATATGGAAGAAGAATTAGAACTAAACTAGACTTTATTCGACCCAATCTTTCAAATAACACAGAAAAACGATTACAAAACTATAATTCAAACATAAAATTATATAATCCAGGAGATAGAGTACAATCACGCAACTATAACGGATCAGAATTATGGAAATATGGGAAAATTTTCAAACGTTTGGGAAAACTCCACTATATCATTGAATTAGATGACGGATACACTTTAAAACGACATTACAATCAAATTAGATTATGCCAAATAAGAAAAAATCCCGAAGAGAAGGTAACACACAAAAAAAGTGAAAAAACCGAAGCTTCTAAAAATTCTCAATTTATTTTCCAATCTCCAATTAATGGAACTAATGGAAGAAAAAACATGACACTAAGAAATACAGCGGCTAGTTTACCTCAAAAAAATTCTTCAACAAATTCACATTATAGTATACCTGTAGTTTCGATAACAAAAACTTTTGCAACAAAACCTATTCAATCTGAATCAGTAACTAGCACATCAGAAAACTTACCTAGAAATTCAGAAGCTAGATTTTCCAATCCAGTACCATTTCAATCCGAGTTTGTACCAATTCCTTCTACATCAAAAGATCAATCAACCCATGAACCAATTCCTTCTACATCAAGAAGTTCGAGTCCTAGTTTTTGTGAAGAAAATGAGGGAGGCTATGTTCAAGGAAAACCATTACAACTAAGACGTTCTACGAGCATAAGGAAACCTATTGAACGTTTAAGTTATGGCTAATCAAGTTTATCTATTACTTATTTAGCCGTGATATTATGCGACGAAGAATCTGTTATACGTAAATCTGTTATGTATTTTATATTTTATGAGTTATCACCTGATGGATATGTGGTTGTTATACTGATTGTTATTATTATAGACAGTTATTTATGTATTATTTATATTATTCACATATTTCTCATTGATCAATTACTTATGTAGCTCTAATACTATACGGCGGAGAATCTGTTATGTATTTTGTATTTTATGAGTTATCACCTGGAAAACCAGTTGTTGTAATAATCGTCAATTTGATAGACAGATGTAAATCATTATTATTATTAAAAGTCAAATATAATTTATCATCCAGAATATAGTAATTTATTGAAACATTACAGGATCTATATAATAATTAGGTGCTTTTTAGGTGCTAATTAGGGCCTCTAATTAAAAAGTAGGTGCTCCTCTAGTTTTTGAGAAAATCAAAAAAAACTAAGGGATTGCTAGGTTTATGAAATCTAATATATTTCCAAAAATTTCTTTTGTATCAGAATTAGGTGCTTTTTAGGTGCTCCTAAATAGTCGAAGAAAAAATGGAATTGATTAATCATTTAACTGAGTTACAGATTTTTTTTTAATTATAAGGGGACTGTTGGATTTACGTTCACTTGTTGGTGTGTCAGAATGGCAAGAAAACATCGGGATCTATATAATAATTAGGTGCTTTTTAGGTGCTAATTCGGGCCTCTAATTAAAAATTAGGTGCTCCTCTAGTTTTTGAGAAAATCAAAAAAAACTAAGGGATTAATAGGTTTATGCTAGTAGTCCCCTTATAATTAAATTCATATAGGTAACTGTTTTTCTGTTAGAGATAGAAAGCTGAAATTTTCAGCAATTTTTATACCAGTAGAGAACTACAATCCCTGAAAATTTCAGCTCATTTGGATTTATAGTTCCAAAAATAAAATCGTGTTAAGCAATTTGAGGTGATTTATCGATTTTTCGATTTTTGTGAGTGGCTTTTTCCATAGAATCTGGTTCAGAATAATTTATTGTATATTGTATGGAGTTTGGGGGGTCCCGAATGATCATTTAGATACAATATCTTAACATAAAAAAAAATTAAATTTTATCATTTTAGTACTAAGGTACCTTATGAGATAATTTTTGTAAGCTTGAATTTTTTTTTTTTTTGAAATGTGTAATATTGACTAAATAACATCGTTCTGTCTTGTTTTATTATTGAAACGCCATTAAATGGATTTCAAAATTTTGTAATGAGAGAGAGAGAAATGAAACGAATAATAGTTATTTATACACCAAGTGAGTTAAATAAATGTTTATTCATCATGAGAAGAAAATTTAACCCACGAGCCCTAGCGAGTGGGTTAATTTTCTTCGAATGAATGAACATTTCAACTCACGTGATGTATATAAAATTTTATCCCATTTTGTGGAGATTAAAAAAATAAAGCACAAGGAAAAATGCCGAGAGTGAGTTAAAAATATTTTAAATCACTGAGTTGTCAGATGTTTAGTTAGGCAGAGTGACTTAAAATGCCGAGAGTGAGTTAAAATGTTTTTAAATCACTGAGGTGATAAACGTCTACTTACCTTTATTGTTTTGCGTTCAATATTTTCATAATATTTCGTACATTACCTACATGTACAAAACTTCATCTTTTATAAACCTCAGGCATTGTGTAACTGCGACCTAACGATAGCCAAATCCGTAGTTGTATTTTACGCCTTTGAGAAAGCATAAACTACAATTTTCAACCCATTTTTCCCTCAGCACGGTTTCCAAGAAGGAACTATAAATTCTATAGCGAAATGATACACACGCCACCTCACCCTGTCCTTATAACGGGCTTATCGCATTTTGTTCCTGAAATATTACGGTACTAGAAATACAAACCTTAGTTTTTTATCTTTCATTATATTACAAAATTAAATTATCATAAATGAAAATTCAATTTAATTTTAGATAAGATGTTTTGAAGTAAACTCGCTAGCCGTCTGATGAATGGATAACTGATGAAAAATAGGCAAATGTATTTCAATGTTTTATGAAGAACCAGCAATCTGAAAATGTACAATTTAAGTTTTAATGAAAACTTAATCACATAAGAGTATTAAATCGCAAAACATGTACCGTTCGTATCTAGCTTTGTGAGACTCAGCTTTCGACATGTCTTCTTTCAGAGTGTACTTCTTTAAGCCGTCCATAAGACTTCTTAAGTAAGTTTCAGCTTGGACGCTTCTTACGTCGAAGTTATAAGTAATTCTATCGTTCGGAGTAAGTTTTTCCCATAAGGCTTTTACGTTCTCGTTCTTTATGATCCACTCGCGTACTAGAAAGTAATGTAATACCCCCATTACCTTATCCAATTTCTTGTAGACTATACTCAATCTAGAAAAAATAAATTAGTGAGTCAGAATTCAGAAATTGTAGTAATATTCTTGACGTAAATCGAATAAATTTTTTACACAAAACTTTGAGCCGTTTTCTTTTAAATTCCAATTAGGAAACCTCTCCTTTGTCGCTAGCGAAGTCAAACTGAAAAGGGATGGCATAATAATTTTCAAGAAAAATGCTAACGAGGTTGTGCCGTCCCAACCAAAGTCCATTTTGAACAAAAAGACGATTCGCCTTCCAGTCCCTATGAAAACGTTGTAACTATTGCTCCTTTTTAAGCCATTCTCGCGTACGATATTGTCAAATGAAAACTTTTATTGCTGGCAATTGTCCTTTTTTTTTTGGGAATTTATTGGCGGATGGACGAGCGCAAAGTTTCTGCAATTATTTTAAATAGACTAAATTGTTTCCTTACTTTGGCTTTCGTCCAATAATCATGAACATCAAATCGAAAAGGTAAGCGGGTAACGTGTGAAGTAGGCATTTTAATACCAAAAATTTAATTTCGCTTTCGATAATGATAAGCATAGGTTTCCAGATAGTTTTTTTGAATGCCAAATAGCTAAAAAAAAATTTAAGTCAATGGAAATTAGTATAAAGTCTTTTCATTTACCCGGAATTTGCTGCCAAAGATGTATAGTCCTTTATTGACATATACAATGAACTAGAGTTGCCGGAAAAGTTCATTACAAGTGGCTTGTAGTTGACTGGATTATTAGACCTGGAAAATATGATGGACAAAATGGACTACAATTTTTGTATATGACCCAAAAAAAAAAAAAAAACAGATATAGAGGGACCAAAGTTCAAATAGTCTTGGTGAAACTTAAAAAATCAATAATATAAACTTATAATTATTGTGTTTTCTAATATGAATGTTATGGAGTAGCAAAATCTCCAATTTTAGATACTCAGCTCTCCTCCTCCATCGGTCTGTAAATTATTTACTCCGAGATTAACATAGACTTGAGTCTAGTCGAAAATCAAAAAAATTTAAGAAGTTCTATTAAAAAAAAAAGATTTTTTGCTAATTTTTCTTTTTTATTCCACATTTTTTTCCCCAATTTTTGTCTATTCTAAGCTCTTTAATCTTTGCTGCCAAGAATGCAAAGAATCAAAAGTCTAAAATAGAGAAACTAGTGAAAATTCAAGAACCTGGAACAGGTTGAGAACTATTGAAACTACTCAATAAAGATTTGTAGAGGATGAATTATCCTTAATTCAAGCCGAATAACATTAGGATCGGATTGAAACTAAAAGAGTCGTGCTCCAAAATGTGTGTCAATGTCATTTTGGAGAAAATCAAAGTTCCAAAAAACGAGATTGACACACGTTTTATTTTTCTTTGAGGAAAATTTTGTAGGGATTGGATTGAAATTTTGCACATAGAGAGAGAAAACATTGAAATTAAGGAAAAAATATTGGAAATTTTCTTCTGCTCATCCATCTTGATAAAAATCCAAGTATAAACACTTTGAAGCTTCAAAATTTGAAAACTATTGAAACAGCGTTGAAACTACCAAAATGAGATTTGTAGAGGATTCAATTATCCTTAATTCAAGCCTTATTACATTGGGATCGGATTGAAATTAGAAAAGTTGTGAGCAAAAATATGTGTCAATGTCATTTTGGAAAAAATCAAAGTTCCAAAAAACGAGATTGAGAGGCGTTTTATTTTTCTTTGAGGAAAATTTTACAAGGATTGGATTGAAATTTTGCAAATGGAGAAAGAAAGGATTGAAATCTAGGAAAAAAAATTTAAAATTGCCTTCTGCTCATCCACCTTGATAAAAATCCAAATAAAAACATTTTGGAGCTTTACAGCTTGAAAACTATTGAAGCAGCGTTGAAACTACCCAAATGAGATTTGTAGAGGATTCAATTATCCTTAATTCAAGCCTGATAACGTTAGGATCGGATTGAAATTAGAAAAGTTGTGAGCAAAAATAAGTGTGAATGTCATTATGGAAAAAATCAAAGTTCTAAAAAACGAGATTGAGAGGCGTTTTATTTTTCTTCGAAGAAAATTTTACGAGGATTGGATTGAAATTTTGCAAATGGAGAAAGAAAGGATTGAAATCTAGGAAAAAAATTTAAAATTTCCTTCTGCCCTTCCACCTTGATAAAAATCCAAATAAAAACACTTTGAACCTTCACAGCTTGAAAACTAGTGAATCAGCGTTGAAACTACCAAAATGAGATTTGTAGAGGATTCAATTATCTTTAATTCAAGCCTGATTACATTAGGATCGGATTGAAATTAGAAAAGTTGTGAGTAAAAATATGTCAATGTCATTTTGAAAAAAATCAAAGTTCCAAAAAACGAGATTGAGAGGCGTTTTATTTTTCTTTGGGGAAAATTTTACAAGGATTGGATTGAAATTTTGCAAATGGAGAAAGAAAGGATTGAAATCTAGGAAAAAAATTTAAAATTTCCTTCTGCCCATCCACCTTGATAAAAATCCAAATAACAACACTTTGAACCTTCACAGCTTGAAAACTATTGAATCAGCGTTGAAACTACCAAAATGAGATTTGTAGAGGATTCAATTATCTTTAATTCAAGCCTGATTACATTAGGATCGGATTGAAATTAGAAAAGTTGTGAGTAAAAATATGTGTCAATGTCATTTTGGAAAAAATCAAAGTTCCAAAAAACGAGATTGAGAGGCGTTTTATTTTTTTTCGAGGAAAATTTCACAAGGATTGGAGTGAAATTTTGCAAATGGTGAAAGAAAGGATTGAAATCTAGGAAAAAAATTAAAAATTTCCTTGTGCTCATCCACCCTGATAAAAATCCAAATAAAAACACTTTGAACCTTCACAGCTTGAAAAATATTGAAACAGCGTTGAAACTACCGAAATGAGATTTGTAGAAGATTCAATTATCCTTAATTCAAGTCTTATTACATTAGGATCGGATTGAAATTAGAAAAGTTGTGAGCAAAAATATGTGTCAATGTCATTTTGGAAAAAATCAAAATTCCAAAAAACGAGATTGAGTGGCGTTTTATTTTTCTTTGAGGAAAATTTTACAAGGATTGGATTGAAATTTTGCAAATAGAGAAAGAAGGATTGAAATCTAGGAAAAAAATTAAAAATTTCCTTGTGCTCATCCACCTTGATAAAAATCCAAATAAAAACACTTTGAACCTTCACAGCTTGAAAAATATTGAAACAGCGTTGAAACTACCGAAATGAGATTTGTAGAAGATTCAATTATCCTTAATTCAAGTCTTATTACATTAGGATCGGATTGAAATTAGAAAAGTTGTGAGTAAAAATATGTGTCAATGTCATTTTGGAAAAAATCAAAGTTCCAAAAAACGAGATTGAGAGGCGTTTTATTTTTTTTCGAGGAAAATTTCACAAGGATTGGAGTGAAATTTTGCAAATGGTGAAAGAAAGGATTGAAATCTAGGAAAAAAATTAAAAATTTCCTTGTGCTCATCCACCCTGATAAAAATCCAAATAAAAACACTTTGAACCTTCACAGCTTGAAAAATATTGAAACAGCGTTGAAACTACCCAAATGAGATTTGTAGAGGATTCAATTATTCTTAATTCAAGCCTTATTACATTAGGATCGGATTGAAATTAAAAAAGTTGTGATCAAAAATATGTGTCAATGTCATTTTGGATTTTGGAAAAAATCAAAGTTCCAAAAAACGAGATTGAGAAGCGTTTTATTTTTCTTTGAGGAAAATTTTACAAGGATTGGATTGAAATTTTGCAAATGGAGAAACAAAGGATTGAAATCTAGGAAAAAAATTAAAAATTTCCTTCTGCTCATCCACCTTGATAAAAATCCAAATAAAAACACTTTGAAGCTTCACAGCTTGAAAACTATAATCAGCGTTGAAACTAACATAATGAGATTTGTAGAGGATTCAATTATCTTTAATTCAAGCCTGATTACATTAGGATCGGATTGAAATTAGAAAAGTTGTGAGTAAAAATATGTGTCAATGTCATTTTGGAAAAAATCAAAGTTCCAAAAAACGAGATTGAGAGGCGTTTTATTTTTCTTCGAGGAAAATTTCACAAGGATTGGATTGAAATTTTGCAAATGGAGAAAGAAAGGATTGAAATCTAGGAAAAAAATTAAAAATTTCCTTGTGCTCATCCACCCTGATAAAAATCCAAATAAAAACACTTTGAACCTTCACAGCTTGAAAACTATTGAAACAGCGTTGAAACTACCCAAATGAGATTTATAGAGGATTCAATTATCCTTAATTCAAGCCTGATTACATTAGGATCGGATTGAAATTAGAAAAGTTGTGAGCAAAAATAAGTGTGAATGTCATTTTGGAAAAAATCAAAGTTTTAAAAAACGAGATTGCGAGGCGTTTTATTTTTCTTTGAGGAAAATTTTACGAGGATTGGATTGAAATTTTGCAAATGGAGAAAGAAAGGATTGAAATCTAGGAAAAAAATTAAAAATTTCCTTGTGCTCATCCACCTTGATAAAAATCCAAATAAAAAGACTTTGAAGCTTCACAGCTTGAAAACTATTGAAACAGCGTTGAAATTACCAAAATGAAATTTGTAGAGGATTCAATTATTCTTAATTCAAGCCTTATTACATTAGGATCGGATTGAAATTAGAAAAGTTGTGAGCAAAAATATTTGTCAATGTCATTTTGGAAAAAATCAAAGTTCCAAAAAACGAGAATGAGAGGCGTTTTATTTTTCTTTGAGGAAAATTTTACAAGGATTGGATTGAAATTTTGCAAATGGAAAAACAAAAAAATTGAAATCTAGGAAAAAAATTAAAAATTTCCTTCTGCTCATCCACCTTGATAAAAATCCAAATAAAAACACTTTGAAGCTTCACAGCTTGAAAACTATTGAAACATCGTTGAAACTACCAAAATGAGATTTGTAGAGGATTCAATTATCCTTAATTCAAGCCTAATTACATTAGGATCGGATTGAAATTAGAAAAGTTGTGGACAAAAATATGCGTCAATGTCATTTTGGAAAAAATCAAAGTTCCAAAAAACGAGAATGAGAGGCGTTTTACTTTTCTTTGAGGAAAATTTTACAAGAATTGGATTGAAATTTTGCAAATGGAGAAAGAAAGGATTGAAATCTAGGAAAAAAATTTAAAATTTCCTTCTGCTCATCCACCTTGATAAAAATCCAAGTAAAAACACTTTGAAGCCTCACAGCTTGGAAACTATTGAAACAGCGTTGAAACTACCAAATAGAGATTTGTAGAGGATTTAATTATCCTTAATTCAAGCCCAATTACATTAGAATCGGATTTAAATTAAAAAGTTGTGAGCAAAAATGTGTGTCAATGTCAATTTGGAAAAAATCAAAGTTCCAAAAAATGAGATTAACAGACGTTTTATTTTTCTTCTAGGAAAATTTTGTAGAGATTGGATTGAAAGATTGCAAATGATGAGAGAAAAGATTAAAATTTGGGAAAAAAATTAAAAATATCCTCCTGCTCAGCCACCTTGATCAAAATCCAATCTATGTTTATGTCTATGAGTTTAAATATTGTAAGGTATACTGAATCAAAATTTAAACTTTCTCCCATGGGTGTTCGAAATCCATTGGTGTTTTATCAAGTTTATAGATGCACCTGAATCGAGCTTCAATTTTCAATTTTTGCTCAGGAATTGGTTATTTGTGGAGTGAAGGGAAGATGCTGTTGGTCAACCTTCCTCATTGGAGTTTCCTTGTTGATGTACTTATGATTAGACATTTCATCTGTTTGATTTTTCTAGACATTCATTGTGAATAGGTCATTCATCACATGCATCTGGGTGACTCCTTGAGATAGAACATGATTTTCTTTTCTGAGATTGCTTGCAATTATTGTAACTGTTCATAGTACGTAGGTAGTTGTTGGATGAGGATGAATATCAGTTCTCCTAATTCATATTTGGCTGGAATTGTCTAATAAGCAAGTTTTTTAGATCATAATTCCATTATCCACTCCTAATAAACCATAGGCGCACCAATTTTTGTTTGAAGAAGTTCATTCCTCAATATCTGTATATGTATATTGGATTAAAACAAATTCTTACTCTTAAACCTTGACTTGTAAAAACAAAAATTACTATCAAACAGTATGTAATTAATACAGATAAAATCCCCCAGCTCCTTGGATTTTCTCTCATTACTGAGATAACGATATATAGGGTTCAGATACTAACCATTGAGTGGCCACTTCCCAAGCGTAGCACAGCAGGCCGCTGATAACCAGATCGCCTGGAACCGTGTCCGCTTTTATCCTGCCGTTTCCTCGAATTACACGCAGGATTCCGCAGTTCGAGGATAAAAGGATCCCGAGGGGACCGTACAGATTGTCCGACCAACCTGGAACGGGATCGGACACAGTGGAAGTCACTGTTGGCAAAAAAAAATACTAATCAGATTGATGAAAATGTGTTGGACTTTTTTTGATTATTACTGGAAAAATTAAGTGCAAGATTTAGAAAGATTTAAATTATGCTTCATCGTAAATTAAAACATTTCTTATTCGATAAAAATATATGAAACAAACTCCTTTTTAATAAAGTCAGAATTAATACTTAAACAACGTTTAATATTCTCTTTATTGTGAGCGAAAGCAAAATTTCTTAGAAGTTTTACGGTATGTTTGAGTTTTCAAGAAATAAATGAAAAATCTTTAATATTAAGAGTTGAGGTCCTTATAATAAGCAAATTAATTTAAAATATAGAGTTTGTGAATAAAATTTCTATGAAGTGGATAATAAATTAAATTTCTTAGAATTGTATCCAGTGATGGCAGAAGTAAAAGTTTAAAACCATGATTATTTAATTACCAATCGTTGGTCGAAAAAGTGCCACTGGCATGTTGCGTCCCTCGCTAATTAAAAGATGCTCGGACACGGCCTTAGTAAAGGTGTAAGTGTTTGGCCACTTTCCAATAATCCTACAAAAATGCATAAATTTCAAAATATTGATAATCTTTTGAGTGCCATATATTTTACGAGGCTTCCGGAAACTAAAAATCGTAAAAACTTTAAAACTTTTATTAGAAACCCAACGTCATCATAAAAGAATGAACGGTCGGAGGAAGTGGGCGAACGTTAAATTTAATGTTTCAATATCCGAGTGGACAATTTGCGTTTAAAAAATCGTTACGGCTCGGACACTGGAATACCATTCTGCCATTAATTTTGTGATTCGATTTTTAAAGATTCAGAGTGGTGGAAGTAGGAATATGTGTAAAATTTACATTTCGCAATTTGGATGAAATCTAAGTATATCTAAAATGATTCGCCTTTTTATGTAACTGTTAAACAAAATCTAAAATTAAGAAACTAATCCACAGCTTGAGATCTGATAATTGACAGCTACTAATAATAATTATTCCCAATCATCTATTTTCATGTCGATTCTTACTTTTACACTCAAACTCAGTAAAAATTGCAACTGCATCCAATGATGATGCTCTAGATCAAAACGGGTATCAAGAGAATGAATCTTTTTCTCAGATGAAAGCACTTTTAAAAGTATTTTACGTAAATCGTCGCTAGTATTGGGCTTATGAAAATCCGCAGTAAATGAGAAACATTTACACTTAATGAACATGATAAGACTTCGATGATATGGTTGTCGTAAATAATCCGCAATTTCATTTTGGATCTATTATTTATTGTGTAAAAAAAGTTGATTATACTTCAAATTTTGATCATTACTGGCTCTTGATTGGACGAATATTTCTTCTAGGGAAATCAAGAGCCGGTAAAAGTCCACAGTATATTAATTCGTTTTTGAAAAACTCATAATTTTCCAAATGTTGGTACTTATTGATTCTTGAGGATCTTGGTTAGACGAAATATATTGCTGAGACAATCAAAAACCGATCATCACCTACTGGCTCTTGATTGGACGAATATTTCTTCTAGGAAAATCAAAAGTTGAGATTTTGATTAAGTATTACAGGCAAGTGATTCGTTTTTGAAAAACACACAATATTCCAAATATTGATTCTTGATTAGACGGAAAATATTTCTGAGAGAATCAAAAGCCGATTAGACTTCAAATTTCGATCATTACTGGCTCTTGATTAGATGAATATTTCTTTTAGGAAAATAAAAAACCGATAAAAGTTCAAATTTTGACTATTACAGGATATTGATTCGAAAAACTCATAATTTTCCAAATATTGGTAGTAAAGGGGCAGCAAGAGAATTGGCCCAAAATCACCCATTTTTCCATGTAAATCTCCATAAGAAAATTTCAGGTTTAAAATGGCACTTTTCGGACCATTTTGGAGTGGGGGTAAAATTTCCTCGAATTAGGCCCCGCCCCCTTTCCAGCGCCCAGGTCTGCATCGACCGTTCACACTACCTCAGCAGCCGCCGAGGCAGTCGCACATACTTGCTATCTGATACTGATGATGCCACAACACCTCCAAGACATCTCAACAACACCTCAAACACCTCCAAGACAGATAAACAACACCTCAAACACCTCCAAGACAGCTAAACAACAGCTCCAAGACAGCTAAACAACAGCTCCAAGACAACTCCGAGACAGCTTTACAGGTCAGCAGACAGCTTTTTTCTTCAACACGGTGAATGAGACAAGAGCAAAATACATTTCAGAATGAATGCTTGAAAAATTACAAAGCAACCAATCCCAAAAAGTATCTCCCCCTATGTCTCTACCGCTAGACATCAAGTTTTAAGTAGGGGGAGATACTTTTTGGGATTGGTTGCTTTGTAATTTTTCAAGCATTCATTCTGAAATGTATTTTGCTCTTGTCTCATTCAGTGTGTTGTTTAGCTGTCTTGGAGCTGTTGTTTAGCTGTCTTGGAGGTGTTGTTTATCTGTCTTGGAGCTGTTTGAGGTGTTGTTGAGATGTCTTGGAGGTGTTGTGGCATCATCAGTATCAGGTAGCAAGTATGTGCGACTGCCTCGGCGGCTGCTGAGGTAGTGTGAACGGTCGATGCAGACCTGGGCGCTGGAAAGGGGGCGGGGCCTAATTCGAGGAAATTTTACCCCCACTCCAAAATGGTCCGAAAAGTGCCATTTTGGACCTGAAATTTTCTTATGGAGATTCACATGGGAAAATGGGTGATTTTGGGCCAGTTCTCTTGCTGCCCCTTTACTATCGGTTTTTATTGATTCTTGATGTTCTTGATTAGACGGAAAATATTTCTGAGACAACCAATCAAAAGCCGATTATACTTCAAATTTCGATCATTACTGGCCTTTAATTGGACGAATATTTTTTCTATGAGATTCAAGAGGCAATAAAAGGCAAAATTATGATTATTAAAGGCTCTTGATTCGTTTTTGAAAAACTCAAAATATTCCAATTTTTGATTCTTGTTGCTCTTGATTACAAGAAAAATATTTCTCAGACAATCAAAAACCGATTATATTTCAAATTTTGATCATTACTGGCTTTTGATTGGATGATTATTTCTTAATTCTAGGAAATTCAAGGGGCCCAGGCCCGTAGTCAGGAGAAGGGGCTAAAGTGGGCAATGCCTGCTTTGAAAGAAAAAGTTGTCCACTCATCTACACTAGAAAAACAATTTTTTTAATGGATGAAAAAACAAAAAAACACAAAATCTCAAATCAAATTATGTAATTCAATTTTCTACTGCTTTTCTAAACTCCATTTATATTGAAGAGATTTACGCATATTTGCTGCGTTCGTTTTCCGTTTATAAAACCACAGCTTAGGCAAAGCAAAAAGACCTCACATCAGAGTAGATTCACTCCACACTTTTCAAATAATTCCCGGGCAGCAAAACGAAAGCACCTCAACTTTGATAGTTTTAACAAATCTAGTAGGCCATTTGTAGCGCTTTCTTTGAATCATCAGTGACAGAGACAGCTTATGAATTCTAGGATTTTTCAGCTTGAGAACCTGGAATAGACAAAAGTGGGGACAAAATTATTAGTTTTCTTATTTCCGGTTCTTGAATTGAAAAACTAAAGAAAACAGGGAGGGGCTCAAGAGCCTGGAATAGACCAATAATTGAGACAAAAATGATGAAGTTCTACATCCAAAAGAAAACACCTTAACTTTAACATTTTAAGTAGTCATGTTAATTATAGGGTTTTCGTTAAGTTTCACCCTCTCTTATGTGGTTATTTTATAGTGCAACAAAAATAGAGTCATTTCGAGTAAATTCAATCCACACTTTTCAAATAAGTCTTGGGCAGCAAAATGAAAACACTTCAACTTTGACAGTTTTAAAAAATCTAGTAGGCCATTTGTAGCGCTTTCTTTGAACCAACAGGGACAGAGACAGCTCATGAATTCTTGAACTCTTGAGCTTGAGAGCCTGGAATATACAAAAGTCGAGACAAAACTAATAAATTTCTTATTTTCGGTTCTTGAATTGAAAAATTAAAGCAAACAGGGATAAGCTCCAGAGCCTAGAATAGGCAAATAATTGAGACAGAAATGATTGAGTTCTACATCCAAAAGAAAACACCTTAAGTTTGACATTTTAAGTAGTCATATCAACTATAGAGTTTTCGTTAAGTTGCACTCCCTCATAATGTGGTGATTTCATAGTGCAACAAAACTAGAGTCATTTAGGGTAAATTCACTCCAAACTTTTCAAATACGCCTCGGGCAGCAAAGTGAAGAGACCTCAACTTTGACAGTTTAAAAAAATCTAGTAGGCTATTTGTAGCGCTTTCTTTGAGTGATCAGTGAATTTTGAGAGTTTTTCAGCTTGAGAGCCTGGAATAGACAAAAGTGGAGACAAAATTAATTGTTTTCATATTTCCGGTTCTTGAATTGGAAAACTGAAGAAAACAGGAAGGGGCTCAAGAGCCTGGAATAGACCAATATTTGAGATAAAAATGATTATCGAAAAGAAAACACCTTAATTAAATTATAGGGAATTTTTCGCGCTGTAACTATATAACATTTTTACTTGTCGTTACATCATAGGTATCATATTTTCTTAAAGTTATGGTTATCTCATACCACATTTACATGAGTAACCAATCCTTACAATGACGTCAGTGATGACATTTAGCATATATGTACCATAATAGGTAGGTAACTATCTTCCTGAGATGGTAACCCTCTTTTCTATCTCTGTTTATCAAATACCAATAAAGTGAGATGAATGGATATTGGCAGTGGCGGCCCGTGACTTTTATTTCGAGGGAGGCAGCCCAAAAAAAAAAAAAAATAAGTGTCGTAGGTATTTTTTTTTTTTGGGGGGAGGGAGGTTAAAACTATATAAAAATACATTTTGTAGCATTTTTACAGGGAAGGAACTGCCTCCCCTGACGAGCCACCACTGGATATTGGATAAGAAGCGAACAAAAAAAGTGATGTTAGGAACTGTCTTGGCATTTTGGTTGTCTGCAGTTGTTTGCTTGCACGTTATTTGTTGGTATTGTTGATAATCCTTGGCTGTATTCAATTTTCCATCAAATTCCTTGGATACCAGACAAACGAAAGTGGATTTTTCTAATGGTACTGGATGGTTCCCTCCAGAAAACTGTGGGCTATTACCTATAATGTGTGCCCAGTTCAGACAAAAGTTTTTTGAAACTGGATTTCCTCATACGAAAATAACTAAAAAAATCGATACCGAAAGACCCAATCTTCATATAGAAGAATAGCATCCTTATAATATGAACATCAAATAATAACAATAGCCTATTTTTCGATGTATTAATGCTTGGTATATTTGAAAAATAAAACATTTACTGAAAAAGTATATTAAAGTATAAGTGGATATTAAGGTCTCTAAATTACGCGCGAATGCGCCGTCGTGCTCGAAATAGAGCAAGTGTTTTAAAGACCAGTTATCCACGAATACTTTACACTATTCTTTTTTTATTGGTATAGGTTCAAATCATGAATTACTAATAATAATTGTAGAATGCTAAATTCGTGCTTAACACTTGTTATATTTTATGTCCGATTGACCTATA